TCTTGGTAAACAAATTGTTTACCACAAAAAAGGGTAGTAGAAAAGAGCCATGGTGGTGCAGTGGTTAGAATGCAGTATTGCAAGCTATCTCTGGCCACTGCCAGTAGTTTGATTCTGACCGGCTCAAAGTTGACTCAGCCTTCCATCCTTCCGAGGTCAGTAAAATGAGAACTCAGATTGTTGGGGGCTGTTAGGATATGGTGTATGCCTAACAGGTTGTCCAGGCAATATATGCGTTTTATGACTTTAACATGAATATGTATTCTATGGCTTTAAGAAGTACTACTGAGTCATTGTAATGCTGAGTCATTGTAATGCTGAGTCATTGTATTCTGATTGGATAAGCTCTGTTGTAACTGTATTTAAGAAGGGAGCGGAAATGTAGTCATTTATGATATGCTATCATCGTGGGTGGATATGCTACCAGCGTGAATGTGCTGCTGTTTTTATTACCTACTGCTGTTTTGTATGGTAAGAAGACTTTTGTATCACTGGACTGATTTGATTGGCTAAGACTTGGATTGATTAAAGACTATGAGATTGTTTTTCACTACAAAGTAAAAACTTTGATAAATCAGTTTATATGTATTTTATTCATTATTGCTCTCAGCACCGTTTCCATGTGCTCTACGCTCTGCTGGTTGTTAACACAACAATATCCTTAACAGGGGCAACATGCTGACTCTGTAAACTGTTTAGAGTGGGCTGTAAAGCACTATGAAGGGATATATAAGTGCTATTGCTATTATACTGTACATGAGAAAGATCAGCAATAAAACCCATTGAAACAGTATCCCACACTCCCAATAGATAAGGGAGGAGTTAAGGTAAACTGGCCAGACCTTCCGAAATACTCTAACCTCAGCCACCAAATTTCTCTGACTACTTTATGGGCAAACATTTTAGCTATTCGATTCATAAAGCCACAGTGTCACTGCTCTTCGTGTTTTCAATAATTCCACTCCATATGATCAGATCACCTTAGAAGAACAACAGAATTGAAGTGACTGTGGAGATCTTCTAGTCCAAACCTCTGCTCAAGTAGAAAACCCTACACCATTTCAGACAAATGGTTGTCCTATTTCTTTTTAAAAACCTCCAGTGATGCAACATCATCTTCCCAATCCACCATTTCTGTTCACTTGCACAATACAATCATTTTGAAGAGCTTGTCCACCATTCATTTCTACAAACATAGGTTTCTCTACAAATTGTATGGACAGTTTATATCCTTACACTGGGGACTCACATACGAAGCTGGCTATTGCACCTGGGTCTAGAGGAACTAAGAATTGAATATGCACAAAACATAAAAGGGATAATAAAATATACTTGCCTGTTGTCAGCTGCCAAAGCTCTTCTTAATTGTCTTGAGGTCAAACCTGCTGAGCTCTTGAGAGCGAGCCCTGCAAACATGTCAAAAGATGAGGCTCAGGCACTTGCCTGCAGTTCCACAAGTGTGGCACTTAGCAACTGAGGCCTATACCTTAATGGGGCAAACCTTAACTCGGTGTCCTGGGGCTCCAATACAGAAATGCAAACCAAGACCTTTCTTCTTCTGCTTTTCTGTTATGGATAGAATCTTACTGCTTCTTTTGCATGGATGGTCCAGCACTCACCTCCAAGGCTATGGAGAGGAAGAGGTGAATAGAGTCCATAAAAGTTATTTCCCTTTTCTCTCCCGTGTCTTGTCTCCTCCATTCACCCATGAATTTGGAACAATTTCTCCAAATTCTCTGGTGTGCTTGTTTCATTCATTCATTCCCAAGTTCTTCTTGGAATTGATCAATCAGAGCAAGATCACTCCACCACATATCCCTAACGTGATTGCAAATCTGACGCACTCTCTCAAACTCTGTGGTTGCCCTGTTTGCAACCTTGCAAATCTCTCCATTTCCTGTTGCTGTCCTGAATTATTAAATGCAGCTATACATTTTTGCATGCAGTTCTCATACTTATCCAGCAATGGATCCATGCCTTCAATGAGGGGCATAGCTCATTTGGCTGAGGACACTCAGAACAAAAGTTGGAACGATCTGTAAAAAAAAATATGTTTGCTGACATTCCCTAAAATAAATTACAATGAGTTGTGAAAGTCAGAAACTAGTTCTGGGTTCTTCCAACTTCTCCAGAAAAATCTTATGAGAGTGAAGAAATACCACTTGGGCTGCAGCTGTTGAGACACTCCTGGCTGAACAGCAAGCTGTGTCCCAAATGCAGAATTACTTGTACTATGACCTATTTGCTGTTGAAGTTGTTACAATGCTTCGGCAGGTTCTACTGTAATCTTGAGTTTCTCAAAGATAAACTGCCACCTCCATAATGAAAGAGAAGGGCTGGTGTTTCTCTGAATAAATAATAGGACCTGAATAATATCAAAACTCGATACTAGCTCTTTGATATAGGTTAGGAAGCAGACACGACAGAACGACTGGAACTCTTCTCTACTGTTGGGAGGGTATAACAACAGACTCTTGAAAGCCTTACTAAATTTCCTTCTGCATCCTCTTATTCTAAAAAGAATCAAGGTGGGACTGCATTCCTTCAAAGTTAGCTCTGTATTCCCCCACAAAGTGCAAAAGTTTCTTCCTGGATTTTCTTAATCAAGGTTTGGCATCAAAGTCTCAGCAGGACTGTTTTCCTTAGCTGGATTTAACCTCTCCAGTTTAGTTATCCTGGTGAATTCGTCTTGGGTTTCTACTTCTGTGAAACGAGGGAGCTTGAGGTTCACAAATGTCCCCTCTAAGGAACAACCTCCTGCTGGAAATCAGATTGGCTCCCACATTACTGACCTTTTTAAAGCTTCAAAAATTGTTTCACATTGCCTCAGGGGGATGAGAAGATACCTTTGGCTTATGATGCTATTGTTCCTTGATTTATTTTGATCTTATAGTGTGAATATTTTATTATGATGATACTATATTGCTTATTGCCATGTGGTCTGAGTGCAGTGGCAGGTAAATATCTAATAAACAAATAATAATCATTCCATTTTTCAAACAGAGTTTACATGCCACAATGATTATCTGATTTTTAATACCACCGACAAAATGCACAATATGATCACATTAGAAATTATGGCAGTTCACTGCTGTAGTTATATGCTGAAATTCATTCACAACAGATTGTCCCATTTTCTTTGAAAATGGTCGACAATGAATGAAAAATGCTACCTTTGTCACCATTAAAAAAAAATCTTACAGGGAAAACAGAGCTAGAAATGGAATACTGATCTACAGTGTGTGAAATAGCGCAGCACTACATATATGTCAAGAACCAGTATGGTATAGTGGTTAAGGCACCAGGAGGACTGTGATTTCTAGTCCAGCCTTATGCACAAAACCAGCTGGGACACCTTGAGCCAGCCACTCTCTCTCAGCCCTAGGAAGAAGGCAAGAGCAAACTACTTCCAAAATCTTGCCAAGAAAACTGTAGGAACTTGTCCAGACAGTCATCAGGAGTCAAGATTGGCTCAAAGACACAGACACATTTATACACCTTATTGAAGAACTGCCCCTTTCTAAGGCTAAGACTAAGAATACTTGTTCGTCAGGAATCAGACAAAGTTTTAACATTTAATGAAAAGCTAGCTCTTAGAAATCACACCAAATGGACATACATGTCTTCAATTTTATCACAAAGTGGACTGCAAGTATTTCCAATTGCTTTTAAGGGTGGTTCAGACAATGCCTTCCATTTAACATTCCTTTGTTTCCCCTCCATGTTTTCCTTATACAACATCAACAACAAAGAGTTGAGCAGGGCAAAACAAAGTAAATGGACAATGCATTTTGACTGATTTGTCAACCTTCAGGTATATTAAATCTCTTCCCTTAAGGAAGGGCTGTCAAACTTGGATGCGTCATGCACTGGCCATGCCCACACCCAGTTTAGCAGAGGGGTGAAGTCATGATATGTCATGTGATGGCGTTGTGACAACGCGAGTTTGATACCCTTTCCTTAAGGCATCTCTAAGAACTAAATGGGTGACTTATTTGACTAGAATAGAAAATCTTTTTATTCTTTCATTTTAAGAATTTGAGGATTTGTATCCTCAAACTATGAAACAACTAACCACTGGTTTCCTCTACTTAATGTAACATTTAGAAATTACAGCAATAAAGTAGCATATTTATCTAAAGTGGATATTCTTAAGGCTACAATAGATATACATTTTTCTTGCACTAGTATCTTAGCAACAAGACAAAGGCATTCATGAAACTGTTTTTAAGTTCTTTGTCTACAATTGAGTATGCAAAGGCAAATTCTGAAGACAACAATTTAATAATACTCATTACTTGCAAATAAATAATGTGAGTTTTATGAACAAAAACCTCCTAGTTTCTTCTTTCCATAAGAATAAAGCAGCGATAAATGGTGAATGTATATATATATATAGAATAAAAAAAAATAATCTGTACTATAACATCACAGAAATTCTGAGAGAGAAAAAATATATATTTCTTTTCTGCCAAAAAGGTAATAATGGAAGAATACATGAAAGCATTTGTTTTTTAAAATGAAGGCTGATTGATAGCAGTGTTGTCAAATGGAGACCTTTCTTTGCATTTTTGAAGATCCAGTGACACCTAGTGATATTCTGGAAGGCCAACCGATGCTTGATATAATGCTTGAGAGGCATGGATTTGCATGACTGCTTCTAAGAATACTTCTTTATCTTACGTTATCATTGGTTTACTTCAACTATTTTTGGGAAGGAATTTCCAGGTTAATTGTTGTGCACAGTTAATTGTTGTTCTCTTACACAAATTCTACCCAATGCTCCCGGTCCATCTCATGACAACATACAATCTAATATTAAAGATGTAATTCCGGAATAATAGCAGAGAAAACAATGTTCAACATCCTCTAAAGTTGGAATCCAGATAAGTCACACAGTGTCTGGGAATAACCATGCCCAATAGCCAAATAACCGTAGACGTTCCTCCTCTACCACAAACTCTACCTCTGGCTGTAATTTAAACAAATCAACGAAAATCCAAATGTAAAATGGTCTTTTTAATTACTAAATTAAGACAGTTAAACATTTAAAAAACATAAAACTTGCAAATAAAACAATAACAAAATGTAATTAAGTTCATAGCATTATTTTAAAAAAACTTAAAAGAGAAGTAGAAAGGACTGGGGTTTTTGTTTCTTTTTGGTTAGAAAGAAAGAAGGAAAGAATTCAAGGTTGATAGAGACAATTGAAGAAGTAATATTTTTGTGCATCCCACTGCTCTCGTTTCCCAGAAAAGAAGTGCATAGTAATTCTACTGAAACACTTGCAGACATATTGAAAGTAATTTCATTAGCAGTACAGGACATTTAAAACACCTATATAATGATGGAAAATGGTACACAGAAAAGATATTCTAGCTGAGCTTGATGAATGAAAAAGCATCTCGATATGACTAAAAGGCTATGAGGTTGAGACTATTGCATGGGGTTACAATGTTTATTATTTTTTTAAAAAAAAAATCAGAAAATTCAGTTTACATATTTTGATACACAAAAGCACTTGCAGTTTCAACCTTCCGGTCCAGGCAGGGGTACTTTTCATTAATTAAGTCTGCTTTAATTCTAATCCCAAAATCAAACGACACACTTGGCAAATGTTGTTGAAATGTTGTACATGAGTTTTGAAAAATCAAAACTTACAACAACCTACGGGTATATAGTAAAACCAAAAAGTGCAATCCAATTTAAAAAGTCATGCTGGGCAAAAGCCAAATATTCAGTCACCGGTTTTAGAATCATCACCAGTGTTCAATGTCCCCAGGGAAATCTTTCAGGGTGCTTCAGCATTATGGAATCCGTTTCTGAAATGAATTTCCTTTAGCTATAGCACCTGTGGACTATATATACAGGTATGTATATATTTTACATATTTCTATATATAAAAGAAACAAAACCAAACCCCCAAACACTGGTCCTGATTTTATTTTGTTAGAACATGAAAAAATGTAGACAAAAAGAGGCCACTTCTGGAAAATAATACTTTAGTTGAATCAGGAGAAAACTAGTTAAAATCACATAATTCTGCATTTTTTTTTTAAAAAAGGAAAGCACTAGGATAAATTATTGGCACTGAATTACTATTTACAGTGAACAAAGATTTTGCAGTTTACATAACATTAAAACAATGCAGTTTCAAAGTCTTTGATTAAGAAAAAAAACCCCCACGTGTTCACCTTTCTGTTCGGAGAAGATATTCAGAATTTTAGGACACATAGTTTTAGAAGTTCTCATCTTCTGGCTTCAGTATATTTGGTGCTCTAAGATACAGCCTTGAACCATTCAACCTATGTCAATTGCAAATGGAACACCTGGTAACTGGCTTGCGCAGCCCACCCCAAATTACAGGTTATCACCTGGCTGGTACTGGGGTTCAGTTGCCGTAAAGTAGTCTTCCAGGAAACCCTGTAAGTACTCAAAAGTCGGGCGTTCTTCTGGGTCTTTTTTCCAGCAATGGATCATGAGCTCATGTAGAGAGATTGGGCAATCTTGAGGACATGGCATTCTGTATCCTCTTTCTACCTGTTCTAGGACTTCACGATTATTCATACCTAGGAAATATAAACAATGTTGAAGAGATGTAAAGCATATAATCTGAGCAGGGTTGCAATATAATTTTTATTTGAATTTGTATTATTTGGAAAATGGATTTTTTCCCAATGTTTATGGAAGTTTTATTGGACATGAACCCCTAACCACCACTGCTATGTCATGTGTGCTCTATGTAATTGATCTTAAATGATCAGGATCCTGAAATAGTCAAAGATAGCGTTTTTCATGCAAAATATCATGAATCTATCACTTATTTGGATCTATCAATTAAAATGCTTGATTTCACTTTGGTTCTCTTTTCTTTAATTTGTATTTTTCTCTTACCTGGATATGGTACTCTCCCTTTTGTTACCAATTCTGTTAGTAATATCCCAAAGGACCAAACATCAGATTTTATTGTAAATCTTCCATATAATGCAGCTTCCGGAGCAGTCCACTTGATAGGAAATTTTGCACCTGAGGCACAACAGAAATTATCAGTAAGCCTTTCATTGTGAATTAATGGCTAATAAACTTACATAATTCATGAGAATGAAAAATAAATAAAATTATTCACTACCTTCTTGTGAAAAACCTTGTCTTATATTTTAATAAATGACCCAATTTGAAACATAATTCAAACCTTTTTATCTGACACTGAAGTCTGAACTTTTGGAGCACAATGCTAACCTGTTTCTACAATTCTCAAGCCATGATTGTATTTTCAAATAAAGGAAAGGTAGAACTTTAAAGTAGTGTATTTGTATTCATAGAAACCATATTTATGTTCTACGATCTAAATGCTCAATTACTTAAGCATTCTAATTGTTTTCCTGATTATTAAGTCTACAGCCCCATTACACTCCAACTGTTAGACTTTGAAGTGTTTTGATGTAGCTCTAAATCTTTATTATGGCTGGTTGCACAGTCAGCCAGATGTTTGGGTTTGGCATTTTTATTGCCTATCTTTCGGATATGCAGATACTATTGTTTAATGGTGTTAAAGGTATCATTGCAGGATGTAAGCTGTTCCAAATAAAGCTGCCTTTTGCAATTGACTGATGGTGATTGTGTCAATGCCAATGGTGTTCAATGGTGCCCCAGAAGTTAGGAGACTGTACCCAAGTGCCTATTATTGTTAATGCTCTCCTTTGCCACAGTCACTCTATTTTATTTGCAGGGTTTTTGTATTTTGTTGTCTTCTCCAATTCTTTCTCTTCTATTCTGCCATCTAAAAGTACTGCAATGCCCACTATCCAGACGTTTGGCTTTATTGATAATCGTTAAATCGGGGATTTATGTGGCAGATGCTTTGTGTGTTTGAGTTCTAAAGCACCAGAACAATTTAGCGTCTTCATTTTCAATTTACTTGATTTATTTTGTGATACCACCAGTTGCTTGCAGGCAGATAGTATTTCTTGCAGATATTCCAATGTACCATTGTTGCTATATGCTGTAGTTTGCAGTCAGTCTATGCGATCTTCTTGCAGCACCTAATGGTTTATCTTGGATGTGAAACAACTGCTTTGAACATGAAATGGGAAATAGTCCTTTATGACTATTTATTTATGACCATTTATTTAACAGTGGTCCAGATTATGACAACCACAAAATGGATGCTTTATGGCCTATAATACACACTTCTGGCCACTGCAAAATGTTGCACCACCACCATCATATGATCATGACCAGAGTGCATGGCTGGGTACTGTTTTCATTTATGACCAGTTGCCAAACATCCCGTGAACATGTGATTGCCATTTGCAATCTTTTCTGCCGGCCTCCCAAGAAAATCAATCGAGAGAAAGGAAAGTCTCCAGTGAGTTGCAGAAATGGAGCTCAGAACCTGAAGATCTGAGTTTTGTTCCTGCAGTGCTTCAAAGAAATTCCCTTGCATGCATATAGGGCAGTGATGGCTAACCTTTTTGCCATCGCGTGCCAGGAAAGGGGGGGGGGAGGGTCGCGGGCACGTGTGCTCACACCCATAATTCTATGGGCCCTGCCCCTGCGCATGCGTGTGCGACCCCCCCACTCCTGGCACGTAATGGCCTGGTGGGCCCGGTAGGCCTGTTTTTCTCTCTCCCCAGACTCCAGAGCCTTTCTAGGAGCTTGGGGAGGGCGAAAACAGCCTTCCCCACCCCCTCAGAGGCCCTCCGGAGGCAGGAAACAGCCTGTTTCCCTACTTCCAGTGGGCTCAAAAGGCCCCAAAATCAGTTGCCCGGTGCTTACATGCGCGCCAGAGCTGAGCTCACATGCCCAACGATATGGCTACATGTGCTACCTGTGGCATGTGTGCCATAGGTTCACCATCACAGATATAGGGAGTTGAAATCGGCAAGCAGCTCTTTAGCTCTATCTGCTTGGATTACTGCTTAACAACTGCAACCAGTAGTGCCAGGATTGTGCTCATTGATTGAAGCAGTCATGTGGGCATTTTGCTTAATGACCACTTTGCCCAATGGCTGACATTCTGATTCCAATTGTGGTTATAAGTCAAGGATTACCTGCACTTGGAACATTTTGAAAGCTTGAAGCAAAGTTCTCTTGATCATGAAACTTTTCTAAAGTGCTTTAAAGATTTTAAAACTGCTTGAAACATGTTTTATGTTCAAAGTGGTTTATTTCATTTGTCAAGATGGCCATTTTGAATTCAAAATGCTTTGTACATTCTTATTATGGAGGGTTCTTTGAATTATCTACCGTCTGGCTTTAATTGAAATTACTAGAAATCCCATGTCTGGCCTACAGCTATATTAGCACAATAGAAACCAAGTAATATGTGTAGAGATCATCCAAATAAGCATTTGGGAAAGCATTTTTCCATCTATACCAAATCTTCCTGTTTTATTAAACAGTATCTACCAATTTGCCATTTCACACACAGGACAAAAAAACATAAGCATCTCCTCCTTTATGTTTGTCATTATCAAAGTTACTATAACCGTGTTATAACTGTATCAGTGTTAGGAGAAACCTGTTTGTAATATTCCCCCAAAATGACAATTTGTACATAGCTTAAATTAACACAAAGAAATTCCAAGCGCCTAACGTACAGCAGATCCTCAGAATATATCCAATGTTCCCACTGTTTTAGCTAACTCCAGTTGTTTTCGCACTCACTGAAAATTTCATTAACCCTTTTGTGTTATACAAACACATAGCCTTTCAATACTTTAATCCTTCAATCCCATCTCTATAACCTTTTAGCCTTTCTAGGAAACATCTAGAAATATTTTAACATGACTTGATCAATTATTTATCTAGGATGAGGCAGGGTAATGAAGATGGAATTCAGAAATAATTTTATTGGCCAATGTACATTCATCTCTTGCTTATGATTTATGGAAAATAACGTTGATAATCCTATTGGCTCTCAACTATAGTCAGCATAGCTGTTAGAAATCAATACAAAAAGAATCAGACTGAACTCAAAATTCTATGTCCTGCAAATTAACTGGGGATGGGTATCTTAACACCATCTGCTTCCTTTAGTAATGTCTTCAGGGATTCAAGAAAGCTTTTGGGGGATGGAAAAGGCAGGAAGTCAGCCCAGTTAATGTCAAGTACACAATACTGGTAAGAAAAAGAAAAGTCTGTTTTTGAAATTCAGTCTTCAACTTTTCACAGGGGTGAGTACTTCCTGTCTCTAGAAGCTACTGCCAGCCTGTATCACATTTTCCCAGCCAGTCTTCAGTTCCTGCATGTCAAAACCCTACAGGAACACTAGCTAGTTAGATAAACAATCAGTCCTCTAGTTGTACCCCAGTGGAAAATCTATGTGACAGAATCATAGGGGGTGGGGAGGGGGACGGGAGAATGCGTGCCAGAGCCTCTAGAATTAAGTTACTATGAGCAGCAGAAAAGCATTTGATTGCTGTATTTTAAATATAAAGAGCATATTTAGAGAAATACTTAATTCTATAATACTATAAGAAGAGAAAACTAAAAGTGTATCTATGATTGTTTTCAATATACCTAGATAGTTTTTCAAACTGATTACAGTTTTCATTATGAAAAGATTTTCTATTTCATACTGTACGGGTAAATTTCCAGAATACAATCAATGCATTTTAACTTTATTTGAAGAGGAAATCACTTAGTTCCATTTGTGGAAGCCATAATTGGCCAACAATCTATGAAGACCTAGTATTTAATAGTATAAATAATTAGGATTCCTCATGTTTGTTTTTTTAAAAAGTGAAGTCACTGTGAGAGATAATCTATTCTGAGATGTGTTCAAAGGCAGCAGACATTTTTTTAAACGAGAGGGTCCCTCCCTCCCATTTACAGAAACTACTGATCACAAAAGTTGGTAATCAATTATTTCTGTTGCTTAAATGTTTGAAGTTATTTCTTTTAAATGTTTGGAGTTATTAAGCTGTTCTAATTGTAATCTGTTTTGCTGAAGACTACTATTTCCAAATTTGCCAGAGAGGTCATGGATAAAATAATGATACATAACTTTTCTATCCAGCGGATTTGGCAATAACAATTCTTTATCTCAAACATTAAATGCAGATTATATTTAAAACATATATGCATCAGAAAGATACCCACTTTGGGTATGTCTTTCTGCACATAATACTCACAAGTACAATATAACAATGGTTATATTAGCCACTTATCCTACCTTGTCTGGCTGTGTATTCATTGTCTTCAATTAATCTTGCTAATCCAAAATCAGCAATTTTGCATATTAGACCATTCCCCACCAGGATGTTTGCAGAACGCAGATCTCTATGTATGTAATTCATTCGCTCTATATAAGCCATACCTGCAGCAACCTGTTTAATTCACAATACGTGATATACACTAGTTAATAAATACAACTTGCTTTCACATGCATAGCTTGGATTAATGACATATTTATATTTACCTGTGCTGCCATGTCTACCAGATTTGGTAATTTCAGAGCTCTTCCTTCACCATCTTTTAGGAAATCAAGCAAGCTTCCTGCAATACAAATAAAAATAGGTTTTTTTTATTTGTAAAATATTATCTTAAATAATATTTGATTGTCTCAAAATAGTTAAAAATTACATTCATAAAGTGTTAATACAATAATAATAAATAGAAATTTACTCCTCCCAAGCAATGGGGATTAAGGGAAAGCTGGGAATTTATTTCATGATCAAAAGAACTCAATTTCTCCTTGTTTTTTGTTTTTCCCCAAATCTCTTATTCATATGATGACAAATTATATGTATGAGGTATAGAGTTGTTTTTCCAATGGTGTATTAATAATTCTTTAGCCATCTCCATATACAAATATAATTCAAAGTTTTAAAACCAGCAATCATTTAAAGTTTATCAACATAATTTTATGGACTGTAACTCTGGAAAACATGTACTACGTGTTTACTTATTTATTCATTGCATATATCTTTAATCTTTAGATTAAAGATTAAAGTCATGGAAAATGTCAGGTTAATATAAAATCCTACTGAATTCTAGGGTTAACCCAAAGGCAATTTTCAGTGATTCCACCTTCCCTGTGCAGCCAAAATATTTCAGCAAACCATCAACAGCTGCAGCAGATTTAATATATCATCCCACTTCAGAGGTAGAACATGTTTGATAATGAGGCAAACTTTTTAAATTTGTTTTTGGACTAGCAATGGATGCCAGGAAGTGCAGAAATGATATAATGATATGGGTGATGCCTGAATTTCTATGTTAAGAGATTAGAGTGTGTTGGTTTTGGTGATTAAAGCTGAATACACTTTAAAAGCCCCCTCCCCTTTTGGGAGGAGGGAGTACCTTGGAGTTATTCTTAACTTCTGGCAACTGTCTGGAAAGTTCCTGAAGTTTTTTCTTGGCAACATTTTTGGAAGTGTTTTTCATTACCTTCTTTCTAAGGCTGAGATAGCCCAAGTCACTCAGCTGGATGCAAGAAAGGACCAGAATCCAAGCTTTCTATTTACTAGCTTGGCACCTTTAACCAGTCCATCCATCTGGTTCTATCCTCTGCTACCCACTTCCCTCTGCATACACAGGGAAATTTTTGCCTCTTGATGATCTCCTACCAAAAACACTGTTGCAATTTCTCATTGCTTAGGAAATCAAGCGATTCACTACTGAACTATGGAAAAGAGCAGAAAATGCTACCCTTTATCTAAAGCACCATTAGATGCAGGCTTAAGTTCCACATAGCTTTGGATTCAGGTTCTCCCCCTCTCCCCCCAATATAGTTATTCTACCCCTAACCAAAAATAATTCTCCACAATGAAGAACAGAAGTGATAAAGTTCCTGGAAAACTGATTTGTGTGAAGTAAGTACCAGCTGAAGAAAAAAAAAAGTACATTCTGTAATATCAGTTTGCATAAGGCAAACACAACAAAGAGGAATCCTTATTAGGACAAGCAAAGTGTTCTACATTATTATTTAAAGAAGCAGCAGTGCCCAGTCATGGGTAAATCATTAAAAGGAACTCTTCCCACCACTTTATCATCTGCACAGAACTTTTGTGTAGATAATATATTTAAAGAATAAGTTCAGAATGCTTACTTAAGCATTTCTGGAAGGAGAAAGTAGCTTGATCATGCAGCAGTGCTGAGCTCAGCAAATTCATGAAGCCAGGATATAATTACTTTAGGGTGTGGAAATCAATAACCCTTGCCATTTAAGGGAGAGTAAGATGCAATAATATATAGATATTTTAAGATATTGTGATAACAGCCTGATATGAATTGTCAAATAGAATCAGAAGAATGGAAAAGAAGAAAACTGAGCATCTTAAAATATTTCTGTGAAAGGTAATCACAAAGCTATAAAAAACTAAAGGAAATAAAAAAATAAAATTGTTGTGGATATTCTCACAAAATACTGAAATATGAAATAACTGTGAAATGGTATTGTTTGGAAAGGCCTTAACAATTCTATCTGGATCAGTCAATAATTTCCAAAAATGTCATTTTTGCTGTCTGTAGATTAGATTCCTTAGATTCCATTCAGCCCTCTCAAATCTGTGTGATTCCAGTCAAAGAGACAATGCCAATTTTTGAAGTTCAAACCATGGGTATTTGAAAATGTGGATACAACAGGCAAATGGTTATGACCACAGGAATATATGAACATTTGATTAAGGTTCTTGTCCAATATAAACTCCTAACTAATATATGAGGGAACATTCATTCTTTTTACTCACACAAACAATATTTTCTTTTCAACAATTTAAAATTGGGATGTAAAACAAACAAAATCTGTGCTAGATTTTTACTCAGAATGAAGCACAAGAAAAAATATACAAGTGGAAGGATTTCATAAAGGAATAAATCAGAATTTGGATATTGCAGCTCAAACAGATTTTATGTTGTCTTTCAGTAAGCAACTAAAATGGTAAGGGTATGAAGAGAAAGAAGTAGTTTTAGTTCTTTGTTGGCAATAAAACTTTTTGTGTAGTTATGGAGATCTTTCTAGTATTACAAGGAAATCTTAATTCTTTATTCCTTACCTTTATTTATCTTACCGGTAATTTCTAACCCTTATGTTCCTTCTTTCTACTCATTATAACTATTACACTGCAATGGTGCTTAAGAGTTGGAAAGGATTCTAGAGGCATGTTTTAATGCCTTATTATTTCATTATTTTAATATTTGACATAGGACACTTTGTCAAAAAATTATCTGCTTGTTATATTCTAACACAGAAACATACAAGCTACTTACAAAGATGGGTTTGACGGTAAGAGTCTAGTTAAGAAAAAGATATAATTATAGTTAAGAGTTTACATTTAATGAAATGATAGCTTGTGGTCAATTTCTGCATGCTGCAAAAACTATTTTATGTCACCGTCTTGTTAGTTCATCAATTACATTTTAAAAGATAAAGAATTCTAGAAGCCACACCCTACATGCTTTCTCTACATTGTTTAATTAGTGTATATTGCAGTGATTTGAGGGATTGGGTTTTCATTTATGCATTACTATTTATTTTATGTTTTACTCCTAACAGCCAAGAGTCAATTGGTATAAACATTGTACAATTAATTAAATACAAGGTAGGATTAATAGCACAGTTTAATTTGCACTCCGCAATCTATTGAGTACACATGCTTCTCATCTTACCTTTACCCATATATTCTGTGACAATGTAGATGGGTTCTTCTGACACCACTGCATAAAGTTGTACCAGTTTGTCATGCTTTAGCTTTTTCATGATCTGGGCTTCTTCTAGGAATGATTCTGGGGACATAGTGCCAGGCTTCAATGTCTTTATTGCCACTTTAGTATTCCCATTCCAAGTACCTATTAACAGATGGATAGATAAATAAATAAATTTTAGACATTCCTGACTGAGAGCTAAACTACAGAATGCTATTTGCAGATATTAACACAGCCTTTCCCAATCTGATTATCCTCCAAATGCATTGCCTTTCAACTGTCAGCATTCTTAAACCACAGATCTGAAGAGCACCAAGTTAGGGAAGGCTGCTGTGATACAGAAAACAAGTTGGAAAGATTAATCCATAAATGTTACATATAAGAAGCAGTGAACACTAATGCAGCTGCAGAACATTGGTGATACAACTACTTCAAGTTAGGTTCATCCTCTACAGTTGAAAGAGGGATGAGTACAAACATGAAAAACTTGATGACTTAGCTCATTGGGTGACCTAGAACAAGTTACGTGAGGCAAATGTATTTCATAAAGCTATTGCCCAGCCAAGGCATAGCACCAAGCTCCTGGGGGTGGGGTGGGAATGAATTCACCTTCATTAGAAGGTTCCAAATTATTGAACAAATTTATTAGGGTGAAATGTATTGATAAATATTCTCCTGCTAACATTGCTATCACTTTTTTTGAAAAGTCATTATAAAGAACTCTTTCTACTGGAGAAAGACTGCACAAAGGGTCAAAGCAACATACAACATAGTATTCTTTACAATATAAATAATAGTAAAAAATGAAGATAAGGATCCCATGGACTCTTGTGCAAATTAATTCTCCTCTGAGCTTAGAAATTTTGAGGATACTAATGAATAGGAAAATTTATATATCAGCTAAAAAAAATTGTGATTTGATCTGTCTACAGCTCAGAACAGTTTTATTTCATAATCATCTATGGAATTATTTTTGTTAATATTCCAAAACTAGGAACTTTTATTTTTGAAGGAGGAAAAAAAAGACTGAAAGCTAGACAAATGTTAACTAATATAATGAATTCATTTTCATGTTTGCTCTAGAGTTGACAGTTTGTATACTGAAAGAAAGCTACAGCCATGTGACTCAGCTACTTATTAGTAACTAGCAAAAGACTGCCCCAATAATTATATGCATATAGAAGCTATTTTGCTATAAGGGATAGGGAAAGGGTGAGTCCACAAAAAAGCCTTGTTTGAGATTAAATCTTGATTACTATATCAAAAGGATTTGCATCCCAAATTATAAGACACTTTATTTTGTCTTATAAATGCTAACAAGAGCTCCAATAAATGAACCAGCACCCAATAATGGTATGGACTCTACCCAATCTTGGACCATATAAATAATGGTGGAACTTGAGAACTGGAAATCTCCAGTTCTAGAATCAACAATGCATATTTTTACAAGATAACACAGAAGACAACATATAATGTTTTCTTTCTGTGCTTGTATGGACTAGAAAAATAAGCCTAGCCTTCTCCACTTAAGGGCCTTATCAAATGTTACTCTTAGGTGATAATATTAGTTCATTGGAACTTGTGTTCATAATGCCTTTCTTGTTCTGAAATTGGCTTCTTTCCTGATGGCTTTAAGCATCCATCCCAAACCAGAACAGTTTTCGCTGCCTTACCACTCCACACTTCAGCGAAACAGCCCTGACCCAGCTTCTTTTCCAGAAACAATGAATCTCGTGCAACTTCCCATGCATCCTTAGCCAATCCGACAGTTTGTGGAGTATAATTCGATGCAATCACAGTTAAGTTAAAACATAAACCATCAGCTTTCTCTAAGAAAAGGAAATTAATAAAAGAAATACTTATAATTCATAGAGTAATTGCATGCACAGGGAAAGATGGAAGGTGCTTCTTTTCCTCATTAGTTATCATTCAGTAGTAGTTTGATTCTAGATAGTAGGCTCACAATAAATATTTGCATAGCTATCCAATTAGTATATTTGAAAACTGAAGGCAGCTTGTCAAAGCTAGTAACTAAACTCACGAAGCCCATTGCATCACTTGTCTTTTTATCAATTTTTTTAAAAAATGGTAAGTTTTTCAGAGAGAAGCGTATTACTCTAAGTAATGGAAGACATCTGCTCTTCCTACTACTGATTCCTATTACTTTTGTTTCCACCTTCCATCTTCCTCACCTGTCCCCAATAGCTGGGGGCTGACTAAATAAATTAAAATATTTTCTCAGCATACCCATCCATACTTCCCCAAACTGCCCATTTCCCAGTCTCTTGATCAACTGTAGTGATTCTCGTGGAATTTCCCAGACATCTTTGGTTTTGACAGACAGGTCAGTGAGCCTTGGCATTCCTTTATGACAAGGGACTACTAAGCGGCAGCAAAGACCCGCAGCTCTCTCTGATGAAGGAGAAGTAAAGCACAGGGAAAGAAAAGAGTAACAAACATCAAACAAACATAGCAAGCACAGAAGAAAAAACAAACAAAAATAGTGCTAGTAAACAAGTTAAAACGTCTGTTAGTAGCATTCCAAAATCAGCTTGAAGATTAATAATTCCTGCATACCACTGGAGGTGAGAACTGCTTCCATTCTTTTGGAAGACTATAAAAACTTGGCTTTGCTGGTTGGCCTAGGGTCCCAAGGGGGCCGCCGAACACTGGAGGTGGCTGACAGGATAACAGGAACTCATCCCCGTCCCGTCAGTATCTTAGTTCTGGCTTCAGCATAGTTTAAATTTTTTAATCTGTGTAGTTTTAATGTCTTAATATTTTAAATATTTTTCTACTTGTTTTATAATTTATTATAATATAATAATAATTATAATCCAGAGCCACCTTATGGGGAGATGCGTGGCATAACAAACAAACAAATAAATCCCTAAAATTTGTACTTCCATTAATTCTGAGACCTCTGTATTTTAGATGCCACACTGCTTTCTTTTGCTTCGTTTGAATAGGAGACGGTTATAAAACGTAAAGAGATGAGACAAGATTCTTAGCCTAATCCTGATTTCTGCTTTGCATCTATTTACTTTAAGAGTCTTTTTCACAACTTCCCCAGAATGTCACATATTAATAAGAATGACTCTTTAACAGAAATCACTAGTCTCATTCAACTTCATTCTGTATTACTGTTTCTTTCTTAATTGATTGGAATGGCATTCAAATGTTGGCATGACCTACTTCAACCTGCCTTCTTTTCTCTCTATTATATTTCTATTCCTTTCCATTCCTCTATTCTTCTCTATTACCACTGTTAACAGGAGCATCAGTATTAATTTTGGTTGTATTTTAAAGTTAATCAGACCTTAGACTTGAGAAGAAGTGGGGGACATATACAATCATGTGAAAAAATTCATGTAAAGTTTCCTCCCCTTTCTTTAAACATATATGGATATATAAATATTTTATCTTCATTACACAGTATAGGAAGAAAATGTGACCAAACAGCTATGAAAAACTGACATTTATCCACTAAAAAAAATTAACACATATGCCATTCCCTTCTATGGAAAAAATAAATATACCCTCAGCGCTGATACCTTCTACTTTTCCTCTTTGGTAGAAATAATTTCAAATATAGCCTTTCTTGTAACTGTTTGCCAGTCTCTTGACATCAACTGGGAGGGGATTTTTTCCCCCTACTCTTCCATACAGAATTTTTTTCATCTGTGAAATGTTTGAGGGATTTCTTGTGTGAACAGCTTGAGTCAAATTACCTCATGTCACCTCAGTGGGATTAGATCCAGGTCATTCTAGAACCCTTCACTTCTTTTTTTTCAGCCCTTCTTTGGTGGATTTACTGCAGTGTTTAGGGTCACTGCCATTTTGCAAGGGTCACTTTTGGCTGAGCATCAGTCTTCTGACAGATGGCCCCACATTTCAACCTCTGTACGAGGAAGAATTTATAGTGAATTCTAGGATAGTGAGTTGCCCAGGTCCTGATTAAGCAAAGCAGCCCCCAAACCCTAACATTTTCACCACTGTGCTTTATAGTTGGTATCAGGTTTTTTCCCCTGGGGAATGCTCTCTTTGGCTTCCACCAAATATGACTTTTGGTATTGTGGCCAAATAATTCTATTTCTGCCTTAGCTATCCAGAGTACATGTTCCATAAATCACGTTCTTTGCCTAGATGCCAATGAGCAAACTTTAGACTTGCCCTGTTGTGTCTTTGGACAGCAAATGTTTTCTTCCGGCATACCTCTCACATAGATCTAATTTGTGCAGGTTCTTTCTAATAGTAGACTCTTGCACGTTGGGGAGAGCTACCTGTATGTCCCGTGATGAAATTTTGCGGTTCTTAGAAACTACTATCAACATTTTATATTCTGCTCTCAGGTTGCTGGCCTGGTCTGGCTAAGTTGGCAGTTGTTGGAAATCTTGTCCATTGTAGATGATCTTCCAGACAGTAGAATGATTGATGTTAATTATTAGGCAATGTTTTAATATTCCTTCCCAAATCTATTGACATATATAATCTTCTTTCTGAATGCCTCAGCGCGCTCTTTCAATTTAGGAATAGCAATCCCACAAACTTCAACAACAAAAAGCATTTAAATGAGGTTTAAATAAGACTGGTTTCTCCCAAAGCCTCTCTCATGATGTTGTTTATATACAATTATACAATTGTATATTCAATTATATACAATTAGCAATTATGTTTATTTAAATTACAGAATGGACTACAAAATTTAAATAATCTATGTATTTGTTTTATACCCTTCCTCTATCAATATACATTGAAATAAAGATCAAATGCCTATATGTTGAAATATATTAAAAAGGAAAAAAATTCAATAGGGTGTACTTTTTCACATTATTATACATACTATAGATGTTAAATGTTGCTAAGTAGGCATTATGCAAAAATGAAGGATGGAGTTTGGTCATGTGGGTTATACATGAGTATCATGAGTACACATGGGTATTAGAAGTTGAAGTTTTAAATCAGGAATGTTAAAGTAACTCTTAAAATAAAATTTACTCAATTGACTCTTTAGGACTAAATTACTCTTTTTTACATCTTGATATTTCTTTTAAAAAGAGGGGAATATTGAACAAACATCAAAAACAAGAAGCCCTGAAATGGCAGATCTTTAAAGTATTTTTTTTTAAACTCTGGGAAAAGGCAGAGTGCCAGTCACTATTAAGTTTAGGAATATACTGATATCAGACAGTTGTTTCTGAGAAGTGGAAAAAATAGTGTATATCTTCACATAAGGAAACAGTACTTTCAAGTTTGTTCTGTAGACTCCATATTGAGTTAAACATTGCAAATGCAGCAGAACTATGGAAATGCATATGCAGATTTGATTACCAGGAGCCAAATATATTGGCAAGTTCTGGAAGGGTGTATATTATATACATCCAACTGGCTATTTCATTCTTGGATTCAGTTAACATATGGAAATCCTACTCCTATGCTGCCTAAAGCTTCTCTTGCCACACCATAAGAATAATTTCTGACACACAACTTGCTGTTTTGAGAATAGCTGCTCTATTTCTGATATTCCAAACTATTGCAGGGATTAATATGCATAGAAAGTGTTCACTGAAATTGGTGAACATCTGGAGAAGGAAGACAAGGTTTTCTTCAATTACTGGAAGATACAGGGAGGAAGTCAGCTAGAGTAAACCACAGAGGCTACAAACCAATGCAAGCATAGGAAATCCCTTAAAGGGAGTCTTAGATGCAAATAGTTTACATATCTATTTCCAATATTTTTATTCTGATCACTCATTTTACAGTGTGGTTTACATAAAAAGTTGGTTTACATAAAAAGTTGATAACAAATAAACTATCATCTATAAATTCTAATTCTTGATGATATAGACATAGACAAATAGAAAGGTTTTCATCTGACACCAAAAAAGAATTCAGACTTGGCATCAGGAGAATGCATTGTATAATCTGGACTTCACAATCAAGGATGCTTTTCTTTCTTGTCTGGTGAATCCAAAGAAAAAAAATTTCAACAAAGATTATGACAGCTATCAGGTTTATATTTGGTGCAGTTTTATAGATTTAAATTGTGTTTGGGTTAAACTTGGAGCCAACACAGCTGCTTCATGTTGGATGGCAATTCACGCTATTTTGAAAATATGTAGGGCACATCATATATTCTAATAAAATATTAAGATAGCCTGAAGTTACCTCTTTCTTGTTTTATTGTTGTACCCTTCCCCAATTTCTCAGAAGAGACTTGATGTTTGCTGGAGAGTCTATAGGCTGATTTATCTATCTCTTCTACTGTACTGTGACTAAACAAATGGTTCTTAGCCATCCTATTCTTTTTTGTAACAAGAGCCAAGCATTATCTTTTTTCCAAATTGCATTATGGCATGATTGACTCTTGAAGGACAGAATTATTTCTATCACACCTAGCCCGAGAATAATGAATGCTAAAAGCAGGAGAAAGCTGGTCAGGGTTGACAGAAATAGACCCATAACATAAGTCTCAGTTATTGTAGCATGTTTCTGAGCATGCTCAAATAATCTTGGGCCGAAAATGAATTTTTAACACTATTATCCTAAAATGTTTTTATTCATTACTGTCGCCAGAATGCTTCAATGGGAACAAAAGAATCTCTCAGTCAAGTGAATCTCAGTCTTTCTCTCTCTCTTTGTTTTTTCAAGTTATATGAAGAAGTTTAAGAGGGCAGGGGAAAGGAAAGCTGGTGTTGATTTACCAAGGTGGCTTGTGAGATGCAGCAGAAAGTAATCAATGATTGACACTTTATTGTCTGAAGAAGAAACCGCACTTCTTTTGTAAAAACAGCTGGAATGGCATAATGCAAATACAGAGCTGGTAAAACATCATCGGCTCTTGCAAGTGTATTAGCTGATGATATAATTGCCTATGACCAAATACCTTCAACAGGCCCACCATTAATTTTAAGGACTGTCTCCTATTCACTCACTGTTCTCTGGCAATTATGGACTACTTGATAAAACTTCCAGGCAAAACTCCAGATTGACATTCTGGATTCTGATATCCTCTAGAAATACTGCTAGGAAATTACAGATGTTGCTATCTGAACAAGTGCATGGTACCAGGTTGATAACAGTTGATCCTGGATGATACCCCTGGAGAAGCATATACTTTTTAAGTAGAATTTGTCCTATTAGTGACAAAACTATGCCATGGATTACTGCAATATTATAGCAATAGCAAAAAATGAGATTAAAAAAAGAAAAAAATTATTAGAATTGGAAAGATGCAAGTGGACAGAATACATGGAAGCAAAATAGCTTTCTCTGATGCAATAGAGAACAAGGAGACAACATCTAAGAGCTTCATGCAGTATTAATTAATTAATATATTAAACAATAGATGAAACATAAATGTATAAATACACTCTAGTTAGCATGCATCCTTGGGTGAGCAAAAAGAGAAGCATTTTAAAAAGTGCCTGAATATAGAAGAATGAATATTGCATAATGTTACTAAAAAGATAAAATAGTTCAAAAACATTGCTAAACGGATTAACTTCTAAAACAATTTAGAAAACAGTTTAAATATTGAACATTCTTGGAAAGTCATCTTACAATAAGTAAATATATTTCTAAGTGTCTGGAATGTTAAGAACTTTGCACAGAATATTGTATGCATGCATATAGTAACACACAACCATTCTAAGACACAAGAAGGCTATTTTTAAAAAATGAATTGTCCTAGAGACATGCTTTTTTACTTATTTTACAACAGTGAATCAGAGTAGATAGTAATTAGCCAATTAATACCACCTACATTCAATGAAATGAGAAGGACAAGATTTCCCCTCCCAAGTGTTTAGGAATCTTTTAATTGGATGAGGGCAATTAGAAACTTTCAGGGGAAGGAGCAATATTATTAAATGAAAAGAAGCCTACTTGCAAGAAACTGGATCTTCCCCAGTGCTAAAATAAAAACTATGGATTACTGCTCAAGATACAGGAAGTATAATTTTTCCCACCTGCTATCAAATTTATCATTAATTCTAATGTTAAAAAAAAAGAGCGTGTTTAAGGACCTTAGAAAGTATATTACTTTAAAATATTAAACACATTTATTATTTCACCATTATTATGATCCAAAACTGTCTAAAAGAATTAAGACTGTTTTATAATTTGCATCAATATTTGTTAATTAGATGAAGAAAAAATTAAGTTTCTAGGAATGTGGTGTTTTGTTTTGCTTTACCTAAAAACAATTCTGACAGACAGACAGCTCTGTAATTTTAATGTACTATGTACAATCTTTAGAGCCAGTTTGGTACAGTGGTTAAAGTACCAGGCTAAAACCAGGAGATTATGAATTGCAATCCTGCTGGGGACATTGGTCAACCACTTTTTCTTAACTCAATGAAGAAGGCAGTAGCAAATGACTTCCAAAAAATCTTGCCAAGGAAACTGCAAAGGCTAGTCTAGGCTGTTGTCATGAGACAACAATTACTCAAACGCATGCACGCACACAAACACACAAAACCCCAGCAACAAAACCATACTTGCATAAATATAGCACTAAGTGTGGTTTGATCTTAGCCATATCAAGCAATGAGCATGAACTACAAACTTTCTATTTCACCACTGTTTACAGCATTAGCTGTCAAATAAAGGAAAAAGGGGAATATAATATTTGTGGAATGCTTGTACTAAATTGTACAAGATGTACTCAATCAGAATATACAAGCATAATGAGGTGATGATGAGGGTCACTGGAAGGAAGAAAGAATGTTCTGTCACTTACTTAAGGTGGCATGAGCTGACAAGAACAATTTCTTATATATGATCCTGATTTGTTTACTGTCAGCTTCAATCCCAGCATTGCAGAGAATGAGGGAACAGCCTTTATCTGTACAATTTGTCAGAAGAAATATGCTAACAACTATCAAAATTCAAGAACTAAGCAAGTCCATATAAGGTATTCTGATGATAGGTGGATGAAGCTCTTTCTTTTTAAGTGCTCCGAGTTACAGCAAAAAAGCCCGCAACTTTGAGCATCATTAATATGACCATAACTATGGTCTAATATGACCATAACTATGGTTTATATATGCAGGTATATTAAAAAAATTGCTAGTGAAACTGAAGGAGTACAGAAATGCTCTGAGATTTATATAACAAAAGTCACATTTTAAAATGGTGAGTCTTTATGTGTTCATATTAATATCAGAGATTCATCTAAAGTATTTATCTCCAAATTAAAGACCAAAAGAAAAAAGAAGACTGTAATTTCGTTAACGTTTTCTATTTAACAAAAGATAATAGAGAGCCATTATATCAGTAGCATTTTTATTTTAAGGAAGCTGAATTTATTTAACAACTGAATTTTCAAGGTTACCTGAATAATGCTGAACAAGTTGTTGAAGAGTTTCAAACTGCGCCCTGGTTGTAATGTAATATCCTCCACTGTCAAGCTTGCGGATTTTATAATGTTTGACATGATCACCTTTCATATCATCCCAATCACGAATAGACAATGAATAGGCACCTATAATAAGAAAATTTAACAGCTACATGTAAATAAATACATAAATACAATATTCTAACCAAAAATTATTTAAATTATTTTGGTAGCATGTTACTATAAAAATGGAGTATCCAGTATAATTTTTTTGAAATTAAGGAAAGCAGAAAAGGACAGCATTACAGTAATTCTGAACTGCTGAACAATTTAGAGCAGGGGGGTCAAACTCATGTTGTCACGGCGGTGTCACGTGACATATCAGGACTTCCCCCCTTCACTAAACTGGGTGTGGGCGTAGCCAGTGCGTGACGTATCCAGCCAGCGGGCTAAGAGTTTGACAGCCCTGATTTAGAGGTTCTTTTACAATTCTTCCTTGATCATTATAGTCAGAATTAGATCTCTTTACTATTGTTTGCCACTTTCGATTTTTAGAGCAGAATTAAAAAAATAAAATAAAATAAGGCCTTCTGAAAGGTCAACTCATAAGTTAGATGCTATTTTTTTTACTTAAGACACAATCACATCCAGCACAGATTTTATAAACACAATGTGATGTTTATCTACTAGGTTCTGCTGAATTTAAACTTAAATTGCTAAACTGAATGTAATGTTTATCTATTAAGTTCTACTAAATTTAAATTATTATGAAAAATTAATTTTCTTATAGTATTTTTTGTTTCATTTGAGCATGTTCATCACCTTCATTGATGCCTTTTTCTCTGCTTCTTAATTAAAACATAGGCATTACTACCTTTGGTGGTTTCACTTTCACGAATCAAGAAGGTTCCTCGTGGATTTCCAAAGGACAGCAGCTGCCTCTCAGCATCTTTTCGCCCAAGTTTCCCAAAGTACCATCTGAACAAACATGCCAGAAACAAAAGTTTTCTATCTGGAAGTGGAATTGTTTTTTGAGGATCTAAAACACTTAAGCTTGCATAAGGACCATCTGTGAAGATCATTCAAGTTTTTCTTGTGCCTTCATCACACTTATACGCAGATTTATCCCAGCAGTAAAATTTTGATTTCTGATAATGATGTACTAGCAGAAGGAGCCAACACTAATAATATGATTCTTGAGACATGATGAACATATAAAAAGTTGGCAACTGTAGTCAGACTAATTTGCACACTGATAGGCATAACCTCAGAAAGGCCCATTGACAATTGATTATGTATGATCATGTAATCCTAAATCAGCAATTCAATGTAAAACACTGCACAGCATAATCCAATACAAAAAAATATTTCTGATAAGTTATAGATAGCATTGTAGGGCTAGGAGTTCATGTTTATTCAAATACTGCTTTTAGAAAGGTTTCAATATTTCCTTTACTTTTGATATTTAAAACTGAAATAATAAATGTTGTTCCATCTGCCTTTATTATGAATTTAGCTTTGGGCAGATAACTAGAATAAAACCTTTACAATCTCAGTGTGTTTAAAACCACTACACTATAAAGGATATATTTCTAGACCAGAAGATTCTGGATATTTCTACTCGGATCTAGTAAAAGCTAGCTCAACCCCCCCCCCCGTCTTTTCTTTAATTACCCAAGCGTTTAGCTGAAAAAGGAAGGTAATATAATGGGTAATTCCTTGAAAGTCACCACAGTTTTAACTGTTCTCTGTCCAAAACAATCCTATTTTTTTTTAAATACATACTCTTCTGCTTGGATGGAGTCAACTGGAGCCACATAATTACTAGGAATATAACCAGTTTCTCCGGTAGTCAGGGATCGGGCTTCCCACCAATCTCCTTCCCTGCAAAGCAAGAGTTAGAAAAACACAACATCGGTTTAAAGATAGCCATCATAATATGCCTACCTTGGTCCTGATTCAGTAAAATAATCTATCCTTTTTGAGCATTCATAATTAAAGAAACAGACAATGGAATGTATTTTTCTTTTGGTACTACTGCCTAGAAATTCCACTAGATGGAGATCTTTTATAACAGCCATAACACACTGTGGTTTGTGCCAGGTTATAACACAGAATCATTCAGAAAACAGAGAAAGCAAGCATTAACTGGTATTGCTGTGTTTGTACAGTTTGCTTCCATGTTAAAAGAATGTAACAGTGTGGGTGGATTCCATAGCTCTCTTGAAAAGATGCCTGCTTGTGTAATTTCACTGATTTTCAAACTACTGCACTCTGAAATGACTGACAAAAGACTGAAAATGTTTAAAGTTGAACTTTAAAAAAGAAACTGGAATAAAAAAAAATATATCCAGCACAACATGGGGAAAAATGATTAGGCATCCTTTGGGCATTTTGCCAGCATAATTATGGAAACTCTAATATCCCCAATAAAAAACTAATATTAATTATATACTATTATGTACTGTTATGTAAATCTGGATAGCCCTACTGCAGATTTAGAAAACTGTAATAAAATTGCTTATTATTCAAGTTTGTTAACTTTAACAACAGGACCATTTTGACGCATAAAGAAAGCAGACATAAATGAAAATTTATAATCAAAATATGATTATGAAAATGATGTTATTCTTAAAGTAAGTTTTAGTTCAACCAACTATGCTTACATAACCAGCAAAGATGTTTAGGCATAAGGAATCATGGAATATTCCACAAATTACTTTGTTTTTTAGTTCAGTTTTATAATCAGCCTGTTATCTCTGGAAAAATACTGTTTTGATTTTCAGAATCTTTATTAATATTTCAAGGATGGAATTGCCACTATATAAACAAGAAGCACATTATGCATTTAAGAAATATTTTAACACTGTAAGGGAAAGGGAAATGTTCCCCTTGCACATATGTGCTAGTCGTTCCTGACTCTAGGGGGCGGTGCCATCTCCGTTTCAAAGCCAAAGAGCCAGCGCTGTCCGAAGACGTCTGCGTTGTCATGTGGCCAGCATGATTAAACACCAAAGGCGCATGGAACGCTGTTATCTTCCCACCAAAGGTGGTCCCTATTTTTCTACTTGCATTTTTTATGTACTTTTGAACTGCTAGGTTGGCAGAAGCTGGGACAAGTAACCCTGTTACACGGCAGTAGGGATTTGAACCGCTGAACTGCCGACCTTTTGATCGACGTTGTAGGGTTTTTTAAAAAAAATGTTTTAAAATAAACACTGCATTTTTAGAAATTCTTAACGGCCTTGTTTTCAGTATTTCTACATTTATTTTAATTTCCAATCTAGGATAGAAATATTAATCCTAGCAAGTCAAGGCCAGCTAAAAGATAGAAGAGTCCAGATTATTCCTCTTCGTAGATGTCCATAACTAACTACAATAACATCAAAACGACAAAATGTTAGATCATAAAATCTGCTTGAGGCATGGAGTTTGCATCATGATGCAGATTTTGTCAGCCCCTTCTCTGGAACACCAGATTCTTTCTGTTCTATGATCAATCAATCAATATTTATGACCAATGACCAGCGAAGTAACTCAGTTCAAAAGTTCCTCTCATCAACTACCAAGATAATATAAGGGTGAACAGCTCTTGTTTTTTGTATGTGATTTGATGGAAACACATTATTTAGATGAATGGCAATAAATTTGAAAGACATGAAGATATAGGGAGAAAATTAATCTATCCCCCCCATGTTACATACATCAGACATCTACAATATTACTGATTTTATTTATTTATAAGTGAATACTGTTACTCATCAAAGTAATAGTAGCAATAGCTCCAGCATAATTAACGAGTAACTATTTTCTCTCCTCTTTTATTATCTTAAATAATCAATAATCTAAATGTCCTGCCTGATATGGAACATTTCTTAATATCACAAAATAGAATTTAATACATCATTGCAATCAAGGGAACAAACCATCTAGGCATTAAAAAGTAAGTCATATAGTAAACAGAACTTACGAATTGTTAAGTATCTGGAATTTTTCTCCTTTATGAAAACTTAAATCATCTTCTGTTCTTGCTTCATAATCATATAGAGCTACAAAAAGAGTTACACCTATAGAAAGATAATAAAAGTGAATGCAACTTTTACAAATTGCAGTGTTTTTAAAACAAATTCATTATTTCATTTTTTTTTTCATAATGGAAGAAGGAAAAGATAAATTTGAACCTCTCATTTTATTTTTCACACAGCATTTTGCATAGGAAGCCCAAAACATTTGGTTATATATACACTATATAAATTCTAATGCTATCTTTTTCTAAAGTGCTTTGTATGTATTATCTTTGATTAATGTTGTCCAGCAGAACTGGAGATTCTAATGTGGTTTGCAGGGCACCAATGTGTCAGTGGATACTTGTTTTGGTGCTGGGTCAGGCTCTTCATTTATTTAGTGAATTAATCACATTTATTACTACCACATCTGTAAGGCTCTTTCCCTCCCCCATTTTCCTTTGCATATTCGAGAAGAATATAAATTTGAATTAATAAATCATATCTTGGCATATTGCAAATTAAACTGACAACTTCCAGCACTATATTTATTTCCAAGAATGCAACTTAATAATGAGCTTACAAGCATCATAAGCTCACAACATCATTAGATGACCATGGAGCATAAACCTAAGAAACAAACACCATCTCTTTATTCTGGATATCTATAGGAATACAATCATACACCATACAAAATAATAACATGGTTTGTTTGGCTTTGGCATAGTATGTTGTAGGAGCATAGCCACTATAATTTGTAAATCATGGTTAATGGCTTAGTGTGTTATAGATGCTGGCCTGCTGGTATCACACCACAACTTAGTGTCCTGGGTTAATGCATACACTGATATTTTATTTAGGTTCAACTATTAATTCCATGGTTGGTATCAGCAACAAGCAAAATGAACTTCAATGTTATTATCTATATAGCCTTTAAGTTCTTATGCTGCTTCAGAAGTTATAGAAAATTAAATCTTAAATCTAGAAGAAAATATGTTTTCAAAACTTGTATAAGAACTGATTCCATAAGAATGTTGGGCTCGGTATATTGAACATACATGATGAGAAAATAATATCTACTAAACCTATATGACTGATTTTTGCCAGTAGGGAAGCAAACAATGACACCGGAGTATGAATAATAAGTATGTGCACATCTGAATTAATACACTGGTGAACTCTGATAATATTTTCAAGAAGTATGTCTGAGATAAAGGCAAAGGGATTTAAAGAAGAAATCTACACTGATTATTTTTTCTTATTGAGGAACATAAACATGCTTTAGAAAGGGAATGGATGCAGTTCTTGTTGTTATTATTCACCTGTTCCTCCTCTTGTACGCAATGTACCAGTATGTGATGAAGAATTAACACCACCGAAGACCGTCAATCCTTGTCCTCCAGCTGTGGGGAAATTGTTGTAGTTTGGAATTGAAGTCACACCAAAACTTGGGTAATGCTGAGGGGTAGGATCTGTTCCATAGCGATAACCCGAACTCTGGTTTAAACTACCATCCCTCTCATCGGTCAGTTTTGTTGCTTCTTTATCCTTACATTGCACACAGCCCATTATCTAAAATCCTGCAAACAGTAAAACAAAATATACAGTATAACACTTGTACATTTCAACTAAAGTATACAACACATACATATTAGGGAGTTACAGAATTAGAATCATTTTTGGGGGGCGAATACCTAGGCATCAAATTGCTAAAATCAGGCTAACTTTTCTTGGGGTGGAGTCTAAAAAAAGAAATTATTCTTGGACTACAGTGTTAGCATTTACAATAATTTACAACTCTAAATTGTAAATATGATAGGACATCTTACATATTTTTGTAGGATTAAATATACCAATTCAGTTTATGCCAACTCCATTCTTGCTGCAGTGAGGGCAAGAGTGGATATTCTATCAGTGTTGATTATGGCTTTGGATATCAAAGTAATTAATATTATTTGACTTATGCTCAAAAGGCAAGGAATCATAGATTTCATACTCTCTACAATAAACTGGAAAACACCTTCATACCTGTAGGATTTCTACATGTTCATGTTGTTGGCAATGGTATTATTTTTCTTTAGGAACGGTTAAATTGAAAAGATAGTGCCTATGGCATAATTTTATAGAGCATGGAACCCTGACTTCTTGACCCTGTAGCTGAACTCTGAAGATGGGTAGTTAGAATTTCGTCCACTGCCCTTTTTCATCACCAAGCTTTCCCCTTGGCACTCCTCATTTGGGTCATGAACTCCTAACCAGTTTGGCCTTTTCCAAGAATCCTGGATGAGACTGAGCTGTTGGCTGGGAAAAAACTTTACCTAGTACCTTGAGGAGTGAGGCAGATGCAGCCTTAGTCCCTTCTCTTTATTTTATTTTATTTATTATTTTATTTTATTTATTTAGTAAAGTATGTAATAAGTAACAGATATAAGTATAAACATAATTATGAATACATGAAATGGATACATATAAAAGGGAACATTAGGACAGGAATGGTAGAATGGTAGAATGGTGCGCTTATGCACGCCCCTTAGAGACCTCTTAGGAATCGGGTGAGGTCGACAGTAGACAGTCTAAAGTTAAAGTTTTGTGGGTTTGGAGAAGAAACCACAGTCAGGTAGTGCATTCCAGGCATTAATGATTCATTTACTGAAGTAGTATTTTCTGCAAACAAGTTTAGTGCAGTTTACTACAAGTTTGTATCTATTGTGTGCTCATGTATTGTTGTGGTTGAAGCTGAAGTAGTCATTGACAGGTAAGGACATTGTAGCAGATAATTTTATGTGTTACGCTTAGGTCTGACCGAAGACGGCGAAGTTCTAAACTGTCTAATCCCAAAATTTGAAGTCTGGTGGCATAAGGTATTCTATTGCGAGCTGAGGAGTGGAGGACTCTTCTCATGAAATATCTCTGGACTCGTTTGATTGTATTAATGTCCAATATGCAGTACGGGTTCCAGACAGATGAGCTGTATTCAAGAATTAGTCTAGCAAAAGTTTTGTATGCCCTGTTTTGCAGTTCAATATTACCGGAGAAGAAGCTACGCAAGATTAAGTTAACAACTTTTAATGCTTTTTTGGCAATGTTGTTACAGTGCGCTCTGGCACTTACACCATTTGAGATGAGTACTCCAAGGTCCTTGACAGAGTGAGGGTCATCTACAAGGTCGTATCCACCCAGCTTGTATTTAGTGTTTTGATTTTTTTTTGCCAATGTGTAGGACAGAATGTGATTTTGTGACTTTGCGCTCAGCGAGCAGACATCAGCCAGGAAAACAAAAACAAAACAAAACCAAACAACTCACACTGGCTCCCAGTTACTGTACAAATTAGAGGGAAACAGCACAGCAGGATCTCAGATCTTGCAGGTCTTTTATGCTCCCTTTAGTTGGACACAAAGTCACCTTTCCACAAAATTGTGACAAAGCACCTACATTTAACCGTCTGGAGATAATCTATGGAACTTTTCCTTTGGGTTTCACACTATCTGCATGCAATACTTTATAGGTTTCTGAAAAGCTTCTAAAACATGAAGTTAAAAAGGACATGGTTTATGGCAGGGGAAGATGAGAATATGACCAGAGATGTATTATTCACCTGCTGAGCCAACAGAAAATGAATTAACTTTCCAGTTATTAAAAGGTGGGAAGAGAAGAAAGCAAAGAATAAAGTAATTCTTCAAAAATTTATGATCTTAGAAAAGTTATGCCAATAATGAAAATACCTAAAACTTCCAAGCTGTAAAAGATGATGATGGAGAGGATGATGATGATAGTAATACGAGTAATATTTCAAAGAGATAAAAGCCTATCTGTGCAAAAAGGGTACTAAATTAATGGGCTGCGGCCAAATCTCTCCCTTTTTTGCTGGCATGTATTTTCTGTGAAAGAGATGGGGAGGAGTACATGGAAATGTTTAATGGAGAGATTTTTCCCCTTCCTTTTCTGTTGTCTTTTTCAACTTGGCTCCAATATCTAGGCAATGCATTTTTAAAAGCTCCTTGATTGCAGGACTGCATAATTTGTGATGAAGGGTGTAACCTACATGTTTTTTTTTCAAACCAAGACTTAGAAAAGTGGTCCATTCTTTCTTGAAAACCCCATGCATGATATCATTGAAAGCTTAGTTAAGAATCTGGAGGAAGTAACGAAGTATTATTGGATGGGATCCAAAATGACTCCAGGGCTTGTGTAGGTCATTTTAAATGCATCCACTATTCTGCAGTAGCACAGAGCTCTAAACAGCCAGAGGACGAAAAATTAACTCCTACAGTTTTCACATCAGAAACATCACTTGCAGGCATTTCAACCTTTTAGCAAGCTAGAAACATATGGCTTAGCAGGACAATGGTGATATCATTTCACAAAATCTGGAAATCATTACAGCCTACAACCAGCAAATATTATTTTGGTAGTAGTTCTAAAATGTCACATCCCTTCTTAATTATTTGGGCATGTCTGGGTGAAATGAGTGTTTTAGCAAATGACATTGGTTTTACAAAATAAGTGTATTAAGAAGTTCAGTTTGTATGTACTTCTCCAAAGCAAAATGAGGAAGGTGCTAATTAAAGGCCATAGAAATTATGAAACTGAAATACGTATTTCCTCATAAATTCCAGGGTTTGTTTGCTTTATGAAATCAATCAATAATTCTGTGACCACTTGACAGTATGACTGAAGTTGCAGTATGACTGCAATCTTACAATATGCTTTCCTAGAAATAACTCCTAATGAGCATTTAGTAGGTGTGTGTGTAGGTGTGTGTGTGTGTGTGTGTGTGTGTGTGTGTGTGTGTGTGTATCAGACTATTAATTCCTATGCGTATTACCTAAGGGAATACGTTCTATTCTACACTGTACAGAATTACCTTGCAAGTGATAGATTGTCTCCTTGTGCAAGAATATATAGATATACTGATTGGAATGATGCAACAATATGCAGGAGCAGATGGACAAAAATGTAGGTATCAGCAACATTCCACCTCTTACAACAACATCCAGATTTTAAATGTTCTATTTGCCAATATACTTATGTTGCAAAAAGCAAATGTGTCATCATGTTTCAGAATCTAAAGTTAAGCTGTTCATATGTTTGATCATGAGCACTTTGTTACAGTCCAGAAATAAAAGAAAAAGCTCCACATAACATATTGTGTCTTCTTTTGAAATCCAGAAGATTGGAGTTAAATGAGTTTCTACAAAATTGAAAACCAGACAAATGTTTATATAAACTCTTGCTCTTAGTTTCCTCCTACTCACTTTTTATCAATTCTTCCTGGCAAGGAAAAGAGAAGCAAAACAAGCAGAGTTAAATTGAAGCAGGTACTTTTGCTCTGATTCAAGAAACAAGCTACAGTTATGGGCAGTTCAAATGGGATACCAATCTCTCCACAAAAAAATTATGCTCAAATAATTCCACTCACTTGAAGCCTGGAACAACAGCCAGGTCCAAAGATAGAGCCCAACACAGCACACTTTGGGCTTACCCCAGCCCAGCAGTGTGCTGTCCTCCCATTTTTGTGATGAGAGATAAGTATGTTTTCTGGAAAAGCACTGTCCCCGTGCATTCCTATAGCCAGATGTCTGAGATTAGATTGGCAGAGACTTCCTATCAAGAGCTATGGCAGGAAGGCTACTGGCTATAGCACAATAGGTCTGCCTTGCAGTGTCACAACCAATTCATTCATATGCAGAGTACTTGCTAGAAGCCCCGGCACTACCATCATTTCAAAAAGTCAATCCAACTACCTCTTCTTTTCTGTAGAAAGATTGGCAGCAGCTAAGGTGAATGCCCCCTTCCTGAGAAGTGGAAGAGATCAGCTCCAGGAAAATTTACATTGCCTGGAAGGAAGTGGGTTGACTTTGAGGACCATACAGGAAGTGGTGCACTTGAATGAGGACAAAGAAAAGGGAAGTTCTAGGAACTGCCATTGGAAGTTTTGCTAATGCATAGCTGCAATTAGGATAGCTGATCTCTTTATTTTTTGTGTGCACAAAGGGTATTATTGACCTTGTGGAAGACCTTGATATTCCCCTTACTGAAAAAAAAAATTGGCTGCCATATGAAGATCTATTCTTTCCAGCAGCTAAAGCACAGATGGTCATGGAGACATACAGCCCTGAAGCCAAAGGGGAGAAGGGGAACTGGCAATAGATCAACTGGAGCCTTGCAGGTCCTCATCTTCCATTTTTCCTTCCTGCAACATAAAATGTTCCATTTTCCAGTGGAAAACACCAGCATTTCCTGCCAGCTCACCTCCATCCTACTTTAGCCTGACTCAGCAACAGGTTGACACTGAGATGGAGGCATTGTTGGGAGAACTTGCCTGCAACAAAGAGTAAAAAGCCTATCACATTGACAGGGCAAGGTATGTGCATGAATTAATCTTCTGCTAAGATGTTGTGCTCTTGTATGTTTGCATGTAGTGCCAACTATGTAGGACAGGATAAGCTTGCATAATCCAGATTACATGTACATTAAAACTACAAAGCTAGAGTAAAAAGTACATGCAAAGCAGAAAACTCACTGGGACAAAACTTCAGGCAACAAATTAATTCACTTCTGGCTCCTAGAGTAGAACATGTATTCTTTCAAGAAATCACATACAGAAATATTCCAAAAGGTTTTAACAATTATACACTGAAGCAAAGAGCACAAGTGGATTTCCAGTCAACATGTTCATCATGGAAGTTATAATTCAAAGCATCTGAAGAGTGTCAAATTGGGGATAGCTTGTATATGCCAGATTATCTGGGAATTCTTATTTGGAAATAATATTTATTTACAAACAATTATAAATCATTCAACTCAGATGACTTTGTATGACCTACAATAATAAAATGAAAATTAAATATCAAACAATGAAAACTCCATCAAAATAACTGCACATGCAACAAAATGTAGTAATAAGCTATATCATGTGTTCACGAATTGATAACAAATTAAAAAAATATATACAAGAACATTCATATAAAAACAATATTAAAACATAAATTAAAATCTAATCAAATTCTGCTACACTAATAAACTCGGAAGTAATCTTAGCATAAAAAGGCATTCCTCTAATTTGGAACCAATGTAATAATTGCATACCCTACACCTCTAAAAACAGGTCCTCAAAAAAATGTCACTTGCATATTTTGGAATAATGGGACTGCTGTTGGTAGCTTCAATCAAGCAATATGTTCCAGAATTGTCTTAATATCCAGGAATAAACGTGTATCTCTGGAAAGGCTGCAACAATTGAGTCCCTAAGACTGAACTAGTCTGTAAGAACACCAAGACAATAAAACAGTCAAAACTGGCAAGCCATAAATTGGATCGCTTATGTAAAACATAGACCAGGTGTCTTTCAGTCTTAAAATTTGGAAAAGAACAGCCAAGAATCCATTAACTCAAAAAGGTGGGAGGAAAAAGTTTAGCTCAGTCTTATGTATAAGTGTAACCAATATCTTTTCATGTATTCAAATTATGTTTATACTTTTACCTGTTATCTTATATATGCTTGACAAATACATTTACGATTACGATTATGATCTTATCTTCAATAAAGCAACATATTGAGTTGTATCAAGACTGTGTTTCTTTTTGCAAAAACAAGTTTCTTGTTAGGAAACCAAGTGGACTGTTGCACTTTTTTAACTGATCTACCAGTTATGGGCTTATGTGCTATTTATGGTGGATAAATGTCACTAAAATCAAGTCTCCAACTCTATGTAAACTATATATAAAACAACTGGCGTGATTTTTTATCTATTATTGTGTTCATTTATAATAACTCCAATAATGCCTCTACTCAGATGTTGCCATTTCAGGCCACCTATGGTTACTACCTATTACCTACGGTACATCTATACCCATTTTGCCTCCCCCCTTTCCCAGGAATGCTGAATCTCTTAGTACCTTTTCATGGATCAACTGGATCACACCAGTTGAACACTTGTGCAAGTGTTCTATTGACAGATAGCAGCAGGAAGCATTTCCCTCCCTTCCTCCATTGTTGCTGAAGGTCACATCTGGCTTTGTATCAGATTTCTCTCTGTCACCCAACAGACTAAGAAACTAGATGCAAGTTTATTGAACCATTTGCCATACTTGCATAGATCAATACTATAGACATTATTCTGCAGTTTCCAGCCACACGCAGATTCTTTCCTCCCTTGTGCATCTTTGAACCGCTATTCAGTTTTTGTTATGGGATAAGGGAAGAAGAATTGGCATGGAATGTATTTTAGAGTTTCACTGCAAAAAGACCAGACCTAGAAGACATGATTCATTGGCAGAGTTACCCAGACATAGAAATGCCATGGGATGTGATTGACAACATTCATGCTCTGTACTTTCTCTGACATACCTTTATAACCAAATGACCTAATTGGTGACCCATTCTATCTTTGGCAATAATCTGCAGTTCTGACTCTAAGAGAGAAGTAACCTGTTTGGGGGATGGAAAAGGGGACATCTGTACAATTAACTAATAAGAGATGAAGATTATCCCATTCAAAAGGAAGTTTTGAAATGGGCAATATTCCTAATGAAGAAAATAGATAAGATGGAAACTAAGCTCTGCTATGAGGAGTCAACTGGAAGTGGAGATTGGGACAAAATAGGAAATTCTCTCTTATTGCAGCCAAAGAAGAAATATGATTTATATGTATTATTAAGATCCTTAGGCAGAATGAAGGAGTACAGACTTTGAAGGGGCTTTGTCAGCTTCCAGTTGGCAAAGATATGGAAACAGACAAGGAGACACAATGCCCTTCAGTCTCCCACAAACTGAGGGAGGGGGAAGAGCCATCTGGCACCTTTAAATAGGAAGGAGAAAATAGGAAGGGAGACAATATAAGAGGTGACAGTGGTGATGAAGGAACCAACATAGTTCAGGCCAGCTGCCTGCTAAACTGAAGGCTGGGGAAAAATAAGTAATAGACAGTTAATGCAACAAGGTGAGAAAAAAATGCTTAGGATTTAATCTCTGCCTCTGTCATTCATTCATAATTCAGGCATATAATTCTACATTCTGCAATATGCAGGCTGCCTGCTGGATATTTTTTTTTTTGTCTGCAATAAAGCAATTTATCCAGGTGCATCAAAATGACAAAACGTCTGCTAGATTGAATATGGGCTTGATTTTCTGAAGAGATATTTATTGCTCTGCTTATGTTATCTCACAAACATATAGAACTGAGCACTGCAAAAATGTTCAAGAGAATCAATAGCACAACAATTTTTTTGCCCAATTTCCAGTTCCAGTCATTCACCAGCTGACTGAACAGTGTTAATCCTATTTCCTGGTTGAAAGCCTGAGTGAAATGGGTCCACATAAGAGATGCCATCATACATAGAATAAATAGACCCAAGTCTACAGCTGAGTGAAAATTCCTTATTCCACCCACCATGACATTTTCAGAATGTCATCCAAAGGAATAAGTAGTTTAATGGAAATAGCAATGGGGATGTGTTTCTTCATGTCACATGTGACAAGAAAGCTTTCTATAATTTTCTTCCTCCTCACAAATATATGTAGTCCTCAACTTAAAACCACAACTGGAGCCGAAACTAAGCAAGGTGGTCGTTAAGTGAAACACACTACCGATTTAATGACTTTTTTTTTTGCTTCAGTTGTTAAATGAATCATCATTGTTAAGTGAATCTCATGGTCTTTGAGTGAATCTGGCTTCCTCCCTTGACTCTGCTTGTCAGAAGCTGGATGGGAAGATCACAAATGGTGATTAGGTAAACATGGGATGCTGCAACTGTCATAAACACATGCTGACTGTCAAGTGTCCAAATTTTGATCATGTGACTGTGGTAATGTTGTGATGGTTGTTAAGTGCAAGGACTGGTTTGTAAATCACTTTTTTCAGCACCATTGATGACTAGCAGTTACCTAGTTTGAGTATTGAAATGTCTTCAAGAAAATAACCAAGTGTTGTAATTTTGGACAGTCACTAAACAAATGGTCGTATGTCAAGGACTATCTGTATATCTTAAAAACACATTGATATGACACAGCAGTGTTTTGATAAACTTTCCTGGGGGAAGAGGCAGAGAAGGGCGATCAGTAATGTCTCTATACTCCAGGCAGATATGTGGTTTCTATGGCTCAAAAGTTACTATCAAATTATAATTATTTAGATGACATAAGGGAGAAGTTATTAACACATGGATAGTAATTCTATTAGTATATGAAAAAAATGAAATACATTTTAACTGAACTTTAAATTGAAATGTAGGTTCATCCACTTTGGTTGCGACATGCCATTCAAAGGACAAATGTAGATCTTGACTCCAAAGCCCCTTCAAAGTGATGCTATATAATATGAGGGACACAAAAGAAGCAAAAAGTAAACTATAGCTGCATGTAATTCTGATAAATCAAGTAGCCATCTAAAGGAAAAATGAAGATACCTTGTTCAGAGATGCTTCATCATATTTGCACTTGTAGGACTAGTGAATCTACTAAATATATGCTGTTTATTAGCTGCTAGGTCTAACAGTTCTGAACAGTTAAGTGACTGAAAATTTAGAATTTAAATTACTTTTAATGCTATCAGTCAAAATTTTGTAGGCACCAGGACAAGACTCTCACCATCAAGAAATATCCCCATTTTTTTTTTTAGCACCAAGACTGATTTATGCTCAATACTGGAAAAAGGAGGAAATCCCCCCAGAAGAAGAAATAATAAAGAAAATTCTGACATGTGCAGAAATTGATAGGCTGACACTAGAACTTAAAAATAAGGTTGAGACAGAATACTATAAAATTTGGAACAAATTGTACCAATGGCTGAAAAGGAGAAAAGGAGTTGGAACGAAAAAAAGTTAAAGTTTGCAGAACTGACATGGGGCAATATTTTGACAACTATGCAAATGAAGTCAAGGGGTAGTAGCAATGTATGATAGGTAGTAATTATATTTGTTGTTGTTAAAAAAATATGTATGGATATGATAAAACCAGGATGGCCACACTGTGTCCAATGTTTTTAATATGTACGTAATATTTTTTTTATAGATATATAAAAAAGAAATACTCCATTTTATTTCTGGCTTGCTAATAAGCTCTGGAAAAAAAAACACTGGCAATACTGGAATAGGAGGGGTTATTTTTCGTTTTTGCTTCACTGGTTTGAGGCTATTTAATGGCTGGTCTTGCTATGCCTTGCAACTGACTCTGTTCTCAATATATATTCATATTACTTTTTCTATCCGCATTTCTCAGAATGCAGAAAGGAATTCCAGTCTTATGATTTTGGAAGTGAAATTCAGGCTTGTTCTGGTTTCTATTCTGAGGGGCACCACACTTTTCAAAGAAGCCTTTTACTGTAGATCCAGTGGGAGGAAGCATCCGAAATTGTCAATATCTGGCAAGTCTAGACATGAATAAGTGTACATTCCATTCCATTTTGACACTACTTTCTTTTTTTCCAACAGGGCATTAAAACAGAAAAAGAAAAGAAATTCATAAATATATTTTGATCTCATAATTATTACTAATTTCATGCTATATTTCATTATATTTGCTGCATGGAATTTGTAATTCCTAAGGAGATAGGCAAACAAGATTGAAAGAATAATTTGCTCAAATATAAGGCATACACTGGAACCATAAACAAGCATTGCTTGACAAGGAGAGGCATGCTTAGAAACGTGAGAATAGCAGTAACTGAAATTAATAGTAATGAATTTATGAATTATAAATTTAATACATTTGAGGTGAACACCCTACTGAACCTATGAATTATGTGCAGCAGCTGTACTTTAAAAAGTGGGTTAAGGGGAAGAACAAAAACTAAATTTGATTTAAACTTAGATTTAATTACGGTTTAATGTATTAAATAAAATGTAAGATGATAATTCCCTTGTATTTATCTGACATATTAAAATGATATCCTATAGGGACTCTGGAGATTGTTAACAGCAGTTTGGGGACAGTCTATCAGCTAAAGTGTAGATTTAGGCCCGTGATGGCGAACCTGTGGCACGCAGAGCCCTCTCTGTGGGCATGCGCGCAGTTGCCCCAGCCCAGCTCCAATCGTGTTTCTCCACTGCGTTTCACTCAATCAATTCCAACTTCTTGCAAAAGAAAAAGACATTCTGAAGTTGGATTTGATTGAGCGAACTTTTTCACTCGCACGCTTCACAATAGGGGAGACAGGGTCCTGTCCTCCTCCTGAAGATCATTACAATGCAACCGTCTGTTGGCTCGGCAAAAAAAAGCAGTTGCTTTTCCTGCAGAGCTGCCGGTGTTGGGATGCCCCATCTCCCTGCCAGCCAGCTGAGTGTGGGTGCGCTGCTCCTGGGCTTGTTAGCCTTCAGATGTCATTCCCACCATCCCGCACCAGTTCAGAGGTTCCTTCCCCCCCAAGGGGGGAGACAGAGAGAGAAACAGAGGGAGACAGAGATAGAGAGAGGAAGGGAAGAGAGAGAAACAGAGAGAGAGGGGGGAAGGAAAGAGAGAGAGGGAAAGAGAAAGTGGAAAAGAAAAATGGTATTACAAAAGTTTTTTAAAAAATTGTTGATAAATGTATTGTTTCAAAAGCAGAAAAAGTCGCCCCAAAGGAGTCTTTGAAGCTGAATGCTGAGAGGCACCGATTTCCTCTGCCTTCTGCGTTCCCAGCCTGCAAAGCAAATGGCCCAGAGTCTCCTCGCTAAGCGGCCCTGCCGAGGCCGCTTGCAAACTCCGCCAAGTGCGGCGCCAAACATTCAGCTCACGCATCCCTCCCGGCCAGTGCCAGCACCACAGCAGTGGTGGAGGAAGTGCATGCCCTGCCTGCTCTGCTTTAGCTGGTCAGAGGTGGGGCTCCATGCCACCGCCTGCCAGCCAGAGCACCATATTTGTTTGCTTGCTGGTTGCCTCCGAAGAGGAGCTGCGCTCAGGCTGCCTGGGCTCCTGCCACGTGGGGGGGGGGAGAGAGAAGGGGGTTGTCTCCCCAACAGGATTCAGCTTGTAGTTGCCTTTATTGTGTGGATCTCTAACACTTGTCTTTGGCTGCCAGCCTCCACTCCCCCTCCACAGCCCAAGTGGTTGGATTCACACAACACGTGAAGCTGGGCAGGAGAGTATGTATGTAAGGATGGATAGATAGATGAGACAGAGAGACAAAGAAATGGAGGGAGGGAAAGAGAGAAAGAAACAGAGAGAGAGAAGGAGGGAAGGAAAGAGAGAGAGGGGGAAAGAAAAAGAGAGAGAGGGCAGGAAAGAGAGAGGGGGAAGGAAAGAGAAATTATATTACAAAAGTTTTTCTTTTTTATTGTTGCTAAACATAATATTTCAAAAGCAGGAAAAAAATGAAGGGGCATAAAAGTGCATTTATCACATTTTTCTTAGAACAATTAGCTGAACTCTGCATTGTTTATCATTATTTTAGGTAGTAAAACCTCATTATTCAGGTTAAATTGCCATGTTGGTACTTTGTGATAAATAAGTGGTTTGGGGTTGCAGTTTGGGCACTCGGTCTCTAAAAAGTTCGCCATCACTGCTTTAGGCAATGCTGTGCATTCTGATCCAGCGTATGCATTTTATGACACAAATAAAAATCAAGAAAACTTTATGCACTCTATTACTTAAATCAGTGAAATGTTAGAACATATTGTAATATTTCAACTATCTGAAAAAGTAACTGCTGTAATATGATAAGAAAACAAGCTTTATCAGAAACCCTCTCAATTATTTTTTAAAAAATGTTTAGGACCGTTCTGCATGCTGAGCCCAGAGCACTCTCTTCTTATTTCTAAGATAATTTCTTGTGTTCATTATAATAATTTGTACCTATTCCATTTGGCTTAGTATTCCAAAGAAAAGTCTTGAACGTGTTAATAGAATGTAGCTAATCTTGTTCAGCTCACCTTGAATGAGTTTTGCTTCCACCCACTGCTCCTTTGCTTTTACGTTGCTCTTCCAACAACCTTCAGATCCCTTTCTGCCTTTAAATAGAAAAGAAAAATGAAAGACAAGTGACTTCGCAGCAACTATATCTTAGTACTAAATTTTTATTATCTATTAAATACAATGATATAGAATTAGAAAGATAATTCTTCACCAGGAAGTTGAGATGGCAGTGGGAATAAAGCTATCCAGGAGCCTGGATAGCTCAACAGAGCAGACAGAGCACTGTAATTTAACACCAGCTGTCTGCAATTAAAGTAAGATCGAATCTCGCCAGGCTCAAGGTTGACTCAGCCTTCCATCCTTTCAAAGATAGATAAAATGAGGACCCAGTTTGTGGGGGCAATAAGCTGACTTTGTATAAATATACAAAAGTATGAAGGCTATTGCTTAACGCACTGTAAGCCACCCTGAGTCTCCGGAGAAGGGCGGCATATAAATCAAATTTAAAAAAAAAATACCTGGGGCCACGTCCTACTGCTGATTTCACAGTGCTGGAAGTAAGTTATGGTCAGTGGCAAGCCAGGAAGCACTGCCCAAGAATTAATTAGGAACTAAAAGCAAGACCAGAGATCCAAGACACTCTGAATACTGAACTATGTGTGGTTTAGAGCATGGCTCAACTGGAAACAAATAAACTGTGCATTCTGATCCAGCATATGCATTTTGCGACACAAATAAAAATTAAGAAAACCTGGGGCCACGTCCTAGAAGTAAGTTGCTGGAAGTAAGTTATGGTCAGTGGCAAGCCAGGAGGCACTGCCCAAGAATTAATTAGGACTAGGAACTAAAAGCAAGACCAGAAATCCAAGACGCTCTGAATATCGAACTATGTGTGATTTAGAGCATGGCTCAACTGGAAACAAATAAACTTTTTATACCACATCTTTGTTCAGGGCAGTCCTTTTTCACTAGAGGTTGTAATTAGGTGACTTCCTAGATAGTGGGTTCCTGATATCTCAGAAGGTAAGCTAAGCTAAGCATAGTATACAAAATTGTCTGCTACAACATCTTGCCTGTCAACTTCTTCAGTTTCAACCACAATAGTACACGGGCAAACAATCTACCAACTCAAAGTAAAATGTTCCAAACTCGATAGCAGAAAATACGACTTCAGCAACAAAGTGGTCAATGCCTGGAATGCTCTACCCAATTCTGTTGTTACAGCCTCAAACCTTCACAGTTTCAACCTCAAACTGTTTACTGTGGACTTCACTCCATTCTTTTTTATTATTATTATTAAAAAGTTTTTATTTTATAAACATGCATACATACAATATATAATCAATCAGTGTATCATCTGAATACATCTTTTTTCCTCTTACTCCTCCAATATTTATCATATCTTGATATTATCATTTCATTTGTTGTAACATTTTCCCCACATTTACTTTTATATTTGTACCTTTATCTATTCAACAATTCTATCCCACCCCAACCCTCCCCCCTCCCCATCCACCCCCGACTTCCCAGAGCAAAAGCATTTAACAAGCAAAAGCTAAATTATACTAACCTACTACAAAGTTTAAAACTCCCTCACACTCTTTAACTCCTCTTTTGCAAATTCATCAACCTCCCTATTGTAAATTCTCAAAATCAGTTAGATTAAATTCTTTCTTCCTGAATATAAGAGCCTTTTTCTTGGTATGTAATCCAATAGCTTTAACAATATTACAAGCATTTTTAAACATTTTATCACCTATACCTTTTAAAATAGTATAATCTTATATTAAACATTTAAAAAAAACTCTTTATACATCAATAAGACCTTCTTAGTTCATTCCTCAAAATATAAATTTCAAAACCTTCAGGAAACTATCCCTTAAATTTTTAATTAACCATTTCTATATTTTTTCCAGTCCTTCTTCCTCAATCAACATTGCTCCCTAATGAAGTTCTAAATTAGACATTTATCCTCTTTAATCCTTCATAAAATTAGACATTTTAAAACTTTAAACATTTTATCTCATATACCTTCTTAAAGTACTATAATCTTATGTTAAACATTTTAAAAATCTCTTAATACATCAATAAGACCATTAAGTCATTTCTCAAAATATAAATTTCAAACCCTTCAGAAAGGTGTCCCTCAAATTTTTAATTAACCATTTTGATACCTCGATAACTCTTAAAAAGCTATCATTTTTACCTCGATAACTCTTAAGAAGCTATCATTTTTATATCCAGAACCAACTGTAATAACACACTTCCTTTATATTATCTTAGAATAAACTTTAAAAATATAAATTTAATTAAGCTTTTCAACCTATTGCCGAAAACCTCCCCAAAAAAGATTAATCTTCAGTTCTTCCCTTCTTTCTGTATTTTTTCCAGTCCTTTTTCTTCGATAATTCTTTCTTCTTCAGCATTGCTCCTCCTCCTGCTTTTATTTTCGAGAATTTTAAAATTTGGATTTGAGGTTGATGTCTCTTTGAAAGTTTTTGTATTTCATTTAATTTGAAACCCCCATAAATCTCTCTCAAGTCCTCCTGATTAAACTCTTCCAAATTCCTTTGCTTTCCCCTCTTGGTCTGGAAAGCATCTTTTTTGTCCAAAGTCACATTAAACTGAGTTTCTGCCCCATCTTGTTCCAACAGCTCACGACTGTCTAACAAGCCTTGAAGTGATACTATATTCTCCTTTGTCTCCATGTTTTGAGTCAAAACAGTTTCCTCTTCCTGAGACCTTTCATCAAAAAAACCTTTAAGACTTTCCAGTAAAGCAGTGATTTGTTACTCAAAAATTTCATGTATTATAGCTCTTATTTGTGTATTTGCTGGTGTGTGTAATAATAGTCCTTCAGCACTTTCAAAGGTGCCAGCCATTTTCTTTTTTTTTCTTTTCCAAAGTCCAGTTATTTTTAAATTTGTTCAGCAATCAGGTCAATAAATCCAATAATTTTCCACACAATTTAGAAGTATAAAGTAGTTAAGATCAATACCATAGTCTTTTTCATTTCACTAGCACTTTAAATCTTTTTCTTGCCACGTTTACAATGGTTGCAGCTTTGATGATCACTTTCACTTGTAACTTTAGTTTTAAAACGCCCTTAAGCGCCATCTTTTTTGCTTTTTCTTTTAAACGGAGTTAAAGTTTAATACTTGCATTTCCTGTTCTCCTGATTTGCTCTGCCAGCATCCAGATTCGAATTTTCTCATAATCCTTAAAATTGCGCTGCTGGTGTGGTCGCGACCCCTTGTTCTGCTTAAAGCAGAATTGTCCCGGATCCGGAGCACTGAAGGGCTTTCAGGGAGCTCTCACCCTGCAAACCCCAGGCTTAAAAAAACAGGCTGGGGGTCTAGGGGAGTTCTACCCAGACCCTTCTGCTCTTCTCTCCCCCTTTTTCCCTGGGGGGGGGGAGTTTCGAGCCGCTAGAACAGCTGATTTTCGCTGTTCTAGCGGCAAACGGAATCACGGGGCTGGAGCTCCTGAAGGAGCATCCATTCGGGAACGCGGAGCCACCGGAAGTCAACCTCACTCCATTCTTAAGGGGGCATGCATAAGCACACCAGCGTGCCTACCATCCCTGTCTTACTGTTCCCATTTATTTGTATTTACTTCCTTTGTTTAATTTTATGCTCATACCTATACTTGTTATCTTGTACATGTTTGACAAACAAACAAACAAATAAATAAATAAATAAATTAAATGGCAGTAGACAATAGACAGAGATTTCACTATGTTGTGGTCTATCTTATTTAGAACAAATGAGCAATAGAGATGAATGCAAAACACTGAATGGTGAGTTACTGTATTAGGACATCATCATTGTAATATTGAACTTAGTCTCTATAAATACTTTTATCAACTCAATCTACTTTAAAAATGCAAATGATGACAAATTATTGTTGGTAGGACGATCAATTTCCTGATTATTCAATGGCAAAAAGCCACAAAAACATGGTACTACATGAAGTATGCATCTTATTTTTTTCATTTCTTACTAGCCTCTCTTTTGTGTAAAGTTACAGATCTGTAGCCCCTATCACTTCATTGCATTAGTTCAAACCTAGAATGGTTCCTTCATGCCTACATATATTCACTGGCAATGAATACAATGTCGTTGAAACAGCTCTGGCTGTGTTCCCTTTCTCTGGGAGAAAAATCAGGAACAAGCCCAGATGATTACTCCTTTGCATGTAAATCTCAGGACTAATTGTATATCATGAACTGGATTAACTTCAGAGCCTAAAATCCTTACTTACAAAACTATCCTACATTATACATGTACTAAAAGCTAATTACTACTCCATAGTATAAAGAGTGACGCACACACAGAGACAAAAGTACCTTGCAAAACCTCACCAAAAGCAATCATTTTAGTTCTGGTGTTCTGTGAGCAGTCTTTTAGTCTTGCACTGAGGTACTTTGTTTGTTTAAATTTAGGATATATTCACCACAAGCTGAACACCCCCCCCCCCAGGAATGAAGTGTTCCATTTGGAAAGCAGTAGCAAAAACTGACTTCACTTGCTATGCTTGTTTAAGGAACAGTTACTGTGGTGGAATTGGCTGGGTGCCTGTGAATCAGAGGTCACCTGGCAAATCCACAAGAAAACACATTAGCACAAAGTGGCTGTTTGAGCAGGCGTGATAAAAAAAAAAAAACAACCTCTCCATTCGGCCTACCTCCATGATCTTAACAAAAGGCCACATGCCTGCTTTTCTTGATTTGTTCAGTAGTTTCATTGCCAAATATTTCCATGAGTGGTAAGGACTCTTCCACTCTCCCCCCGCTTTTTTTTTCATTAGGAATTATTTTCATTTGTTTTGTTCCAGTTTCAGACAAGAGAAAAATGAGTTTAAATTGGTGGAATAGCACTGACAAGAATAACTGCTCAACAAAACCACAGACTGTTTTTATTTTTGCTTATGTGAAATACAAACAAATTTATAAACTGAGGAGTTTCCTAATTATATATTATTTTTCCTCTTAGGGTTTTTATTTAAATTCATTTGAATTTGAATGAAATTCCAACTTTATAATAGTGGAATATTAACTGTTGTGAGTTCAGTAGCAAATTCACTTAAGGAAGAA